ATATTTAATTGTTAAAAAAAAATTGAACAAAATACCCCGAAAATTATCAAATTCCAATATTCAAAATTCGCTTTCGGAACAAAAAAAACAAAAATAGAATAAAAAACCTTATCCCCCAATATATTTTCATCCAAATACTAGTGGATCGTCGATGTTTGGTAAATTTCTCACCAAAGTTCAAGAATTTTATATTTTCATTTATTTTTAATTGTTTTGGCCCCGCGGATCGCAAAATTGGGCCTCGCTCGAACCAAAAAACGTTCGCCCTAAACTTGCGAAATCTTGTTTTGAAACGGCCATTTAAAAATCATTTAAACCACACCGCGATCTATTAAATGGAATCAAATTTTAAACCCAACTTGATTTTGTTCCATATTTATAGTTTAATCGTTAATTTAAATATTTAAAGATTTAAAGATTTAAATTTTACTATAAAAACAAAAATTCCAAGCATCGTTTCATGACATTCCTATAGGTCATAGGGGGGTATGGGTGCTCGGATTTAATCCCCCCAAACGCTTATATTTTTCACCCCCTCCCTTTATTCGCAAACCAAAAAAAACCTTTTAGGGCCATGCCACCGAGTGCCGTGATTTAGAATAAGTTAACCACAAAAAACTCAAATATTTGTTAAAACTTTACTTTTTAGGAGTTGGATGGTTTTTGTCTTTCTGAAAAGGCTTTATAAGCTATTATAAGTTTTTGCCTCCCCGAAGAAAACCCAAAATATAGCCATGCTCTTTAAAAGTTCAAAGTAAATGCTTGACCCCGGATATCAAACCCATTTTAAAATACCTACAGTACAAAAAATTATATCACCAAAGGCTTTTCTTTTAACTATATAAATCATTTTTTGCTAGATTTTCTTTAAAAATTTTATCGAAGGGGGGGGAAAAGAAAGGGAAGACATTTTAATAAATTCAAGGCATCCGTTTGGCGAAGAAGTGCTTATGACCCTCGGATATTCATAGTAATATATATTTAATTATTTTGATATTTTCATTTGCGTGATTTGAAACATTTCAAGCAATTCTCGAGCATTAAGTTATATTTTGGCCAATTCAAGGTCAAATCATGATACAAAAATAAAATAAAGAATGCCAAAATTGAAATTCTTTTTTTTGTTACCCCCGCTCCAATGCCATTTTTTTATTGGTCAATTTTTATTTTAACTTTGGCACCATAATAAACTATATAATATATCTTTCAGAAAGTCACCTACATGAATTCCCCTTGAATTTCCACTTTCGATTTTCATACCTATATTATGCTTTCGCTTAAATACATAACACCGATTTTTTTTGTGTTTTCGACCTTTATGATTTGTTTTATTTATTTATAGAGAGAGGGCTATAAAATAATAAATATAACAAAAAGATTGAATGATAAATTCAGTTGATGCATATTGCAGTCATGAAACCTTATAGAATATTAATATTATATTTAATGGTTCATATTTAGGATTTTATTATACATCATTTCACACGTTTTGTCTAAAAACATCCATATCTGAATTACCACCCTTCGCTAGCATCATTAAATTTTTTACTTTTTAAAAATCTACGACATTTATACTTCTATTTATTTTGTTCCTCACCTTCTCTTTCTTCTATATTTTTTACATATTAAGGATGATGTTCCCCTTTCTCAGCAGCTAAACATTGTCGTTCGGCAACTTCAGATTTTGTTAGTTTACGTCTTTTATTCCACTTACCCTCAATTTCGTAAGCCATAACGCATAACAAATCGTTAACCTTTTCCCTATTATAATCTTTACGATATCATATATCGATTAAAACATCACAGGCTATACGTGTTTCAGGTTTACTTAAATCTGCAGTGGCTATAAAGATTCGCCTAATCGTACGATTCTGTTCATTATAAGAAATACGATTCCATTTTATATCATGTTCAAATTTAACACGGTTTCTTTTTTTATGCTCCCGTTTTACATTAATTTCCATAGTATTCAAATGTTTATTTGGATAATTTTTATCCTTATTGTAAATTCGCATTTGTTGAATCATTTCATCACACTTATCACGTGGCATGGGTTAAGACAAATCCTTAGCACCCTGGGAAATACTTCCGACAATCTGTTCACTCTCCTGGTTGAGTTGTTGAACACTATTATACTCTATTTTTAGTTCATCCACCAATGTCGTCAAATATCGAAGGATTATTTCCTTACCTTGACCCTTATTTATGTCTTCACCTATATTTGTCACAATATTTTAGAAATTCATTAATACTAAATATTCTTTTGGAAATCGCTTCGTGTATTCCAAATATCCACCTATTATCATATTTAAATAAGTCACATCTGCACCTAATTTTCTCAATTCGAATATATATTATGGCAACTTATAACTATTTAGTATATCACTATTTCTCTTAAATATACATTCTTTTTATATAACTTCATAACCGATACACCACTTTTTAATTGATATTCTTCAAATAGTTAGTAACTGGTATACATACTAGCTACTCGTTTTGTGTTAATCTTTTCAGTTAACTTTTCATACATTGTTAGCGTTTCCGATATTTTTTACATGAGGTCAAGCTATTGTTTACTCGATATAGCATTTTTTTTCAATCAACGTCCTCTCTCCGTTTTAAATCTACTTTGTTAATATAACTATGGCTGTTTATTCTGCATCTTAAACATGTTGGTCTCTTTGTTATCAATACACACTTTTGCTATAATTTTAGCTAACCCAATAAGACCTATAGTCTTGCCACATTGTATACCTTAGCTTCAGCATTTAAGGAACCCACATAATGACCACTGAAGTTTTTCTGAGTCTTTTGGTGGGTTCCGGATCTCTGCTTCCACAGATTCCAACCCATACTGATTGTTTTCAACGCAGTTCCGTTTATTTCATTTGTCAATGAATACCCTCAACCGTACGTTAGAATGACATTTGAGTTACATGGGTCTCACCTGAAGGAATGTACGCTATGCCTTGTGTCAACCATGATCTCCCGAGAGTCCGGATTCAAGTTAGAGGTGATATGCGGCG